GAAAGTGCCAGTCACCCCTCCTAAAAAGCCTGAAGTCCCACCCGCTGAAGGTAGTCACCCCCACGTCACTGAGCTTGGTAGTGTCCATTTGTGTTCCCTCTGTCTAATCATGAAAATACTAATATCTTTGAAGTGCCTGAGGTGCCAAAGGCAGCTGTTCCCCAAAAGAAGATACCTGAAGCTATCCCCCCTAAACCGGAAAGTCCTCCCCCTGAAGGTAATAATGAAACCAAACTACTATCTTTAAAAAGATTAAATGTCTCTTGTGAAAATCGTTTTTGTTGACTGTATCATACATCCCAGTCAAGTCTGTCACTAAAAGGGGCCACTGTCTTTAAAGTGTATGAGGAACCTGCGGAGGAGATTGCCCCAGAAGAACCCCCAGAGGAGGCTGAGGAAGAGCCAGTGCCAGCCCCACCTCCGAAAGGTACTTGGCCAGTCAGCTGCCCTGCCTTTCTCTGCCTTGACCCTCTGGTCCTCTGGTTCTCACGGTGCGGGCTGCTTGGGCGGTCTTTCTTCCATTTGTCTTTGCTGCTTCTAAAGTATAAACCCTGCTATCTTTAGTGACAGTGCCACCCAAGAAGCCTGTCCCTGAGAAGAAAGTGGCCCCTGCTGTTGCCAAGAAACCTGAACCACCACCAGCGAAAGGTATTTTCGCTGCTGTTAACTTCCCGCAGACTGATGTCTGACTCTGAAATGTCACCTTCCACTACTGTTCTTAATGATTCCACAACATTGAAACTACAAGTTCACACCTACTAATATCTTTTAAAGTGCCTGAGGTGACCAAGCAAGCTGTCCCTGAAAAGAAAATGCCTCCTGTGGTACCCAAAAAGCCAGAAGCCCCACCTGATAAAGGTACATGTGGAGGTGGATTATTGGATGGAGGCGGGAATGAATGGTCTCCAGCTCTTAAACAGTGTTTTGTACTATGTGAATGTGATGAGTGGCCAGTGCTGATTGTTCATGATGTTAAAATACTAATATCTTTAAAGTGCCAGAAGTTCCAAAAGAAGTTGTCCCAGAAAAGAAAGTGGCTGTTCCCAAAAAGCCAGAAGCCCCTCCAACCAAAGGTACATGTCAGTAATCAGACCCTTCAGCAAGGTACTCTGTCTTGGTCCCCTCCGTCACTCAGTGTCAAAGTCTTTGTCAGTTTTCTCGTATTCACACCTGTAAAAGTGTTTCTGGGAATTTAGAGTTTACAGAACTTTTTAAAACATCACCACTTTAAACAAAATTTAAAAGTTTTACAGTCATCATTTTGTAATTCTTAATATCCCTCTTTTCGATCCATACTAGATGAAGATCCAAAGGACAGGTACTGACCTTGCCAATTTTGTTCTTGGGTCTATCTGTCTCTGGGTTAGCTGAGAAAAATGTGAAGTTGAAATGACATGCCATATATTTCTCAACTACTCAAAAGTAAAACTAACTAATATCTTTAAAGTGCCAGAGGTGCCAAAGAAACCTGTCATTGAAGAGAAACCAGCCGTTCCTGTTCCCGAGAAAGTGGAGTCTCCACCCCCAGAAGGTACATACTGGGCCATTAGTGAGTTGCGTTTATAATTATTTATAACTCAGGCATTATTTGTCTCCTTTTCTTGACTCCCTCGCTCTCTCTCCTTTGGTCATTTACTGTTCTTGTTTTTCATTATCTAAGTTAGCACTGATCTCCAATTGCCAGTCAGCAATGGCTATCCAGTTATAGGCTACCCAGGTCACTGTGATCTGTCTTCAGCAAAGCTCTCTAATGTACATAAGAAATGAGATGGGAACATTAATGAGTGTGAATGAACTTAAAAAACAAGAGCTTTTCCAAGCATTCAGATAGGTACACACCGATGTCAGGCAACTGGGATAGGTTTCATATTAATAAAAATCAAAGCAAGGGGAGAAATCAAGATTTCTGTGGTTTGGGTGTTTGGGCACTTTGGAATTGTGTTCCACATACTGAAATACAATTGACTAATATCTTTAAAGTGTATGAAGAACCTGAAGAAATTGCTGCTGAGGAGGAGGAGCCAGTCCCTGTTGTGGAAGAGGAGGAATATGAAGCGCCACCTCCACCTGCAGCAGGTATCAGTCAGGGTCTGCTGCATAGACAGAAAGTGTGGTCACGTGACCCTTACATGTCTTACATACCATAAGGCAATATCTGTCTTCTACCTTCTTGTGTGAAATTTGCCACTGCTGGCCAAACAAAAACAAAGACAAGAAAAAAAAAAACCACATTATTTTCACTCATGAAACTTACAGAATTTTATAAAACACTTACCAAAAATATATGTTTTTAAATGTGTTTATCACTTGATTTGTACTTGCAAATACCTGTTCCTAAAAGAAATTCCTATTCTTCAAGTGCCTGAAGAGCCTAAGAAGGTTGTCCCAGAGAAGAAATTTCCTGTCATCAAAAAAGCAGAACCTCCAGCTCCTAAAGGTACTTCTGTTAAAACAAATGTTTACATAATTTCTATGCTGTCTGAAAATCACAGCTTCTTTGTTGTGTGTTATGCTGCACTGCGTCTATCAACTGTCGTATATATGTTACGATGTTGTACAGGCTTGTAGAGTTAATGTGACTCTTATACTTCTCTATTAAATGCTACTAATATCTTTAAAGTACCTGAAGTACCAAAGAAGGTTGTGCCAGTAAAGAAGGTTCCCGTCGCTAAGAAGCCAGAGCCACCAGCAGCTGAAGGTACTCACATCATCACTGACATCATTTTGTAAAGCTTATTCTAAAAGTGGAATCCAATAAGTGTCCTCCTACTTATGACAATCGGAGGCAAAATTGCCCATATTTGTTTCCATTAACTCTAATGCCACTCCATTAATTTATAGATATTGTTACTCTTGAAATGTTCTCAAATTACCTTTCTAAAACAAAACTAATATCTTCAAAGTCCCCGAGGTGCCGAAGAAACTTGTTCCAGTCAAGAAAGAACCTGTGCCTGTCACCAAAAAGCCAGAAGCCCTGCCAGAAAAAGGTAGCTGCCTGGAGGAAGCATGTCTTGCCAACCACATAGCATCTGACCATAATTTCTTAAATCAAAAAGCCTGAGCTATGCAAAACCACATTTCTTAGAGAAAGGGGAAGGTGGTGGCAGCAGAAAGAGAAAATGAGGCAGAGAAACTGATCCCTGTGTTGACACAGTCCATGTTATAGGGGGAGCGGGGAAAGGCATCAAACAGCTCTGTTCACCATATTTGGTTGAATATTACTATTACTATCAAGAAGATATGGCTTTAGAACATATAAAACATGCTCCCCTCTTCAAGCAACTTAAATATGATGGGAGCATAGGAAGATCGGACAACTCTATAGGTCAGAACATTTCCAAACAGAGTACAGTGAGTAACAGACACAGAGACCAACGAAGAGCCAGGTAAAGACATCATAGAGCACTATAAGAAAGAAATGGTTTTAATTCTGATATTTTTTTACATATGGAAATTAGGAAATGGGGTATATTAAGGCAAAGGGGTCTAAAAGTTCAAGGACTCTCAGATAAACAGGGTAATTTGGGTGAGGATTTGTAGAACATTTTGGAAGATAACATATGTAGAGAGGGGTATTCTACAGTAATAAGATTTGCCTTCACTCTGTAGGCATCTGCAACAGGAGGCGTCACAGGTTTTGAAGAATATAAATGATTGGATTCGGGCTATAGAAAGATAACTGCCCATAGCGCCAAAAGAACAGGATCCTTATAGGAGTTGAAGTTAAGGGACCAAGAGAATAATTCACTGGATTCTGAACTATTACTAGAAAGAAATGGTGAACATATTCTTTATTTTTCAGGCATAGAAGTTATCAATGTGCATTAGGAGCTTAAGGTCAAGGTTATAGATGTAGATTTTGAGGTCATTTGCATTAAAAAAGAAGAGTTTCGAGCCGGGCGGTGGTGGCGCACGCCTTTAATCCCAGCACTCGGGAGGCAGAGGCAGGCGGATCTCTGTGAGTTCGAGGCCAGCCTGGGCTACCAAGTG